GTGCTCAGAACCTTTTTTTTTTGGTTAGAGGACGAGGATGGGTGGGAGACACTACCTAAGTAGTGTTTCGGGTAAAGCAACTGCCCAAATATATTACCTCACTTACTCAGCAGTCCCGTGTCTGCTCCTGCTCAGCGTGCGCTCCGCCTATTCACGAGGTAAGTTTTTAAAGGATTAACTTACCTTCCCAGGCTGCCCTCGCGCTTCCTCCCGGACTCCCGCCGCTGATACAACTGAAAGGCTGCAGTTACACGAGGTAAGACTTTTATAATCAAGAAGCTTACCTTCCCAGGCTGCCCTCGCGCTTCCTCCCGGACTCCCGCCGCTGAAACAACTGAAAGGCCGCAGTCACGCGAGGTAAGACTTTTATAATCGAGAAGCAATGTTCTTCAATAATTCTTACTGCTGTGCAGACCTACAAGGTCCATGCACAGCAGCTGCTATTGAAACCAGATGTCAATGCACAGAATGTGCAGACACAAAGTTTAGAGGGAACGCAGACCTCATGGTGGACTGAGTGTTACAAGGGATGGCTATCCTTCTCGCTCAGGACCATCAGAGGACACCATGCCACCCATTCCTGCCAGCCTGTTCTGAGATTGCCCGCCAGGTCAGTGTAGTTTGAGGAATGCCCACTAGGCAGGGAGAAGCTCAGTTACTTTCACTGCTCCACAAGAGTAGGTGCCACCTGCTTCTCTCTGCTACCTCATAGTCACACTATCTCAACTACTCCAGCCATCTCCCACCAAGGCTCATGGTCTTACTATCCCATGCAACAACTTCCTTCACCTGCTCTCACTGACCCTATGACCCCTAATCCTAACCCTAGCCCACTATCCCCGCATGGCCTGTACTCCCCCTACTCAATCACTCGGGACACCTAACCACATTTCACCCATTTGCACTGGCACTAACTGCTGAGCCAGCCACTTCCATCTCGCTCAGTCCCTCCCTTTGCCTCATTCTGAGAGAGGATGGTTCACAAGAAAGGCAAAAAGTACCAATATGGGTGGTAGGGAGTGCAACATTCAGCTAATTGGGGATGTGATGACTGTTAAAACATGGAAAATTGGAAGAAGAGAAGGCTATTTAGCCCTTCAAGACTGCTCCACTATTCAATATGATCGTGACTGACCCTTTATATCAATGCTATTTTCCCACTTGCTTCCCATACCCTTTGTTGCCTTTAATGTCTGAAACATCTCTTTCTTGAATAAATTCAGTGACTTGATGTCCACAGCTTTTGGGAGAGAATTGCACAGGTTAACTAAATTTGAGTGAAGAAGTTTTACTTCATCTCAATCCTAAATACTGTATCCTAAACACTGTATCCTGAGATTGTGACCCCCAGTTCTAGACTCCCCAGCTGGGGAAAACATCCTCCCTACCTACTGGTCTGTCTAGCCCTGTTAGAATTTTATATGTTTCGATCAAATTCCCTCTCATCCTTCTAAACTCTAGGCCCAGTGAAATGCTACTGGAGAGACTGAAAGAAAGAACTAAATGAATTAAAAAGAGCATAAGCCTGGTAAATGGGACAATACAAAGAATCACAAATGGTGACCCAACAGATAACTAGAACGACAAAAAGTATGAAAATCTTGTAAAGTATGTCAAAATCAACATAAACAATAATATTGTAATTAAGAGGATACCAGGATCAACATGGGTCCCTTCAAAATTCATTAAAGATCAAATCTGTTGATGAAAATAAAAAAATAGTGGACATTTGCAGGGCTGCAGGAAAGTTGGCTGAGGTAAGTGAGGCATTCCATTATCACGTGTGGCCAAATGGCTGCCTCCTGTGCTGTATCATTGTAAAGTTCAAAATTTTGAGAGTCTTTTCATGACCTGTATTTGGACAGGGAACATGCCTCCATCTCTTTTAAGAGTGTTCCCAGTCAAAATTGCAAAGAGTGACAATTTTCAAATGGGGACAGGTTGGGGATCTGTAAGGAGCTCTACCTATAGTTTCCTGCCTTGATAGAGGAAATCCAGCGGCCAATGACATTACAAAGGGGCAGCATATAAATCCAAGGAGAGGGTGCAGTGTTGTGACACATTAATGCATGAGTCTTTGAGAGACTTTGCAGGTAATAATGCACAATTGGAAGAGAATCTGTTGCTAGAGAATGTAGGTTGTGATTATCAAATGCTGTCTGCAACATAATAGTTCCACAGGTGCTTCATCTATGGCATGAAGGACGACTGACCTAAGAAGTACAACACATATTCTGGAGTTGCCTTTCAGGGCAATGAAAATTACTTTATAGCCATACCTGGGTTATGTGGTACAAACGGGCTCAAGGGACCAAATATTTTTGCCTTAATTAATATGTTATTTTTAAGATAACATTATATCTATGAATCAAATACTGTACAGCTTTTTTATATTAATTCATAAATATAGGTGCTGCTGGCTAAGCCAGCATTTATTGTCTATCTTTCACTTATCAGTGCATTTGAGTTGGCCATGTTGAACTGATGTATTGAACCAATGTGTGCACCATGTGGTGTAGGATACCGACTGTGCTGTTAGGAAGGGAGTTCAGCTTTTCATTTCAAAATTATTGATTGAGTTTAAATTATATCAACTGTCATTGTGTGATTTGAACCAGCATCCCCAGAACATTAGCCTGGGCTTCTGAATTGTTAATCCACTGACATTTCCTCTATAGCACTGCCTCCCCATTAGAATCATAGAATTCCTACAGTATGGAAAGAGGCCGTTTGGCCCTTTGAGTCTGCAAAGGCCCCCCAAACAGCATCCCACCTAGACCCAGCTCCCCCCCACCCCATCCCCATAGCCCTGCATTTCCAATGGCTAACCACCTGGCCTGCACATATCTATTTACTATGGGGCAAATTAGCATGGCCAATCCACCTAACTTGCACATCTTTGGACTGTGAGAGGAAACCCATGCAGACACAGGGAGAACATACAAATTCTACTCAGAGAGTCACCTGAGGCTAGAATCAAACCCAGGTCCCTGACACTGTGAGGCTGCAGTGCTAACAATTGTGCCAGTGTGCCATTATTAATGCAATTTGATCTTTACAGGGAATTTTAAATATTATTTTCTTATGAATTTATTGTTGCTTTGTTAGAGAAGTTCCAATTTCAACCACAATGTTTTCTCCACAGTTGCAGGCTGTGAGCAGTTCAATTGCTGGTTGGTCTTCTGCCAACAGCATTTCAATTTGCACCCAAACAGATGTTTTGAATTGTAGACCCTTACATCTGAGTCAGAAAGCTGGAGGCTCAAGTCCCACTGCAACTCACTTGAGCACAAAATATTAAGGGAGTACTGCTCTGTCCAAGGTGCTACATTTACATGAGACATTAAACCAAGGCCCTAATTGCCCTCTCAAGAGGTCACATAATACCCTTCAGCAGTATTTTGAAGATGAACAAGGGAGTTTGCCCTTGTGTTCTGACCAGTAGTGATTCCTCAACCAAAATGAGGTAAAGCAGATTATCTGGTCTGTACCTGTGTGCTGTTTTGTGGGGTTTTACTGCAGGTATGTTGGCTGTCACAGTTCCCCACACTACAAACATGACTGTAATTTCCAAGAGAATTTTATGAGCTGGAAGATGCTTTGGGATTCCCCGAAGCATTGAAATTAATCACATAAATACAGAATTTTTCCTTTTGTTCATGTGTTTAAATGGTGACTTACTGTTTGGGATTTTTTGATAAATTATGCCTAGAATAAAGTGGGAAACTAATGTGTCTTGCTTTATTCACATTCTTCTACCAAGGGGTGGTTATGTGAACTTTTACGTTGGAAAGAAGACCCTTCCCCAGAGAATAGGACTCTTTGGGAAAACTTATCAATGATCAGGAGGTTCCTGAGCCTTCCTCAGGCTGAGCGAGATGCCATTTATGAACAAGAAAGCAATGTGATCCATCACCATGGAGACCGACCATCCCACATTATTCATGTTTCTGCAGAGCCAATTCAGGTCGGTATACCACTGAGAAACCTACAAGACTATCCTAGGAAAGGTTTTATCTTATGAAGACCACATGTTGCTAATTGATAGTAGTATGATGAATTGCTGTTTTAACATGAAAATTATCAAAGAAATAAGTACCACTGCGTCTTCTGCATTGAACTAAGGCCAAAACAATGGGATTAAAACACATACATACTGATTTCATGTGTATAAGTTGTTTTGGCTATTTTCGTTATTTCAATGATGCTAACATGACAATATGTGATGAACAGTTTATTTATTAATTATTTATGCTTATAGCAACAGCCAGCAGCACCCCGACTTGCACCTAAACAGCCTACGTCAACACCAGCAGAGTCAGAAGATGAGAGCCGGCATAAGCCCAGATCTCGTACTAAGATTTCTGTAGAAGCCCTGGGGATCTTACAGAGCTTTATACAGGATGTAGGTTTGTACCCAGATGAAGAAGCAATTCAGACTCTGTCAGCTCAACTTGACCTGCCCAAGTATACAATCATAAAGTTTTTTCAAAACCAACGTTACCATCTAAAGCATCATGGCAAACTGAAGGACCATGCAGGCTTGGAGGTAGATGTGGCTGAGTATGAGAAAGAGGAATTGCTGGAAGACTCAGAGGACTCAGAGGAAAATGAGGAAGGCAAAAGCTCAAAAGAAATATATTCAGTTAAAGTGGAAGAGACATTGTCAGGAGAAGGGACTACAAATAACTTAGATCCTGATCAGGAACCAAAAGACTGACCCTGATGTTACATGAACATTTCTTTATTTTGTAACTGTGCCACTGATGTGTAATTACATGAAAACCCGTCTTGTTTCCTGCATTATTCATCAGAAAGACCAATTTGTCTTTACAAACTTGCACAAATATATTAGAAAGAGTCCCAGTAAAAGACTGAACAAATCTCCTGTGGATAATGCAGACTGCACTAGAAGTTTTTCATTTTTTCTTTCAAGCAAACAAGCAGCTACATATGAAGTATTGGGATTGCCTTGAACATTTTTGTAACTGCTGTTTACTGATTAATGACAGTTTCTGTACGGCGCATCAACAGAGGAAACTGACACTGTATGATGTTTGACTGTATTAGCTGTCAAACTTAAAATGCTCATTCAGAAGCTTTCCACAACTGATCACAGATTAGCCAGTTCTGAATGGATCAAACACTCCAGTTTCAATTCTCCACCCAAACCGGTATGTTTCTTGCAACTTAAAAGGAAAATCTGGCCTTTTCAAAATTAACAAAATTGAAGATGAGAATACTTTGTGCTTAGCTATTGTTAAAGTTGCAAAAAAAAATGAAGAAACTGCTCGCTGTAAAATGCAGCGTTAATGGAAAATATGCCAATAATTGCCTTGTGTAATATGGCACTGCCATCATTCAATTATTCTGCAAGAGAGCAATCACTGTAACTTTGAGTCTTGTCATTTCCTGATTTTAAAATGTGAAACACAACTTTTTTTTTAAAAATTTGTGTAGTCTAGATTATTTATTTTAAGAAAACTTAGCCTCATGATGTAATTAATTTTTTGAAGTTTCTGTTACATGTAACATAGTGCTTTTTCATACTGACTTTTTCTATTTATAAATGTATTTTGATGGGCAGTGATACAAAGTGTCTTAAAAGTTTCAATTGAAAAATTGTGCTTTAAAATTTGCCTAAAAACTGCTGTATGTTATCAAAGCAATTCATACCATGGGCTTCACTCTTTATGGTGTATGCAATTTTCTATATTAATGTTAAACCATCATGCAAATGAACATAGGTTAATAAAAAAATAAAATACATTAGATAACTTATAAACTTCACAGAAAAATAGATGTTTTGCAATGTGTCTTCCTTCGGTTTACAATGGATTGAAGCTTTTTTCAGTATAAATTTCTGTATGAAGATTACAAGTGTACCTGTTTTTCTGAGTTATATTGCGATGTGGAACTGAGATCACAAATTATTTTGTTAAATCTGACCATGTTAGACTTTTTTTTAAAGCATCACAGGTTTTCTTTATGCAAAAATGTTCAGATGGGGATGGTTATTAATTGTTAATCGCACAATTAAACTATCTTTGTATAATATGATAATTCTTGTTTGTTTCTGTCTTCATTATTATTGAAGTATAATTGTTAGTCAATACATCTCTTATTTGATGTGCTATTTTTGATGTGCCAACACTTAACACATTACTTACAACTGCCATCCTTGCAATCTTTTTAAGTGAGATTGCAAATTAATCTATAGCAGTAATTAATCACTTGACATGAACCTACTTTTTTTTTGATATACTCTATACAGCCAATCATTTCAGATCGGTTCTTTGCCCAGCTCCTCGAAGTGAAAGAGCAGGGTGTTTAACCACTGTAACACCTATTCCAAAGAACAGCAATGCGGTAAAAAGTTGGGAAGATATATGGCTTAGAGAGTAATTTTCAAGTTGTGGTGTTCAACTGCATCTTCTGCCCTTATCTTTCTAGATGGTAGAGGCCTTGGGTCGGGAAAGTGCTCTTTGATGAGCCTTGGTTTGCTGCAGTGTGCTTTGTAGATGGAACACACTGCTGCCACAGTGTGTTGGTGGTGAACTGAGTAAGTTTTGAAGTTGGTGGATCAGGTGCCAGTTAAGTGAGCTGATTTGTCCAGGAAATGTTGAGCCTGTTGCATGTTGTTGACGCTACTCCTATCCAGGCAGGGAAAGAACATTCCATCACGTTCCTGACTTGTAGATCGTGGACAGGTATTGGTGAAACAGTGAGTGAATTACTCACCATAGAATTCCTAGCCTCTGATCTGCTCATATAACCATAGTATTTGGATGGCTCGTCTAGTTCTGTTTCTGGTCAATGATAACCTCAGGATGTCAATAGTGGGGCATTCAGGAATGGTAACTGACAATGATTGTTAAGGGTTGGATGATTCGATTCTTTCATTGAAGATGGTCATTGCTTGACGCTTGTGTGACGCAAATTTTATTTGCCATTTAACAACCCAAGCCTGGATGTTGTCCAGCACTAGTTAAGTATGGACATAATGTCTAAAGACTCGCAAATGATGCTGATTAATGTGCAATCCTCAGTGAATCTATCCATTTCTAATGTTATGATGGAAGGACGGTCTTTGATGAAGCAGCTGAAGATGATTGAACTTAGGGCACTACCCTAAGGAACTCCTGAAGTGGTGTCCTGGGGTAGAGATAATTGACCTCCAACAATCACAGCTTTTGTACTAGGTATGACTCCAACAAGTGGAAAGTTTTCCCTGATTCCCATTAGCTCCACTTTTGCTTGGGTTCCTTGATGCCATTTTCAGTCAAATGCTGCCTTAATATCAAGAGCAGTCACTTCTATCTGACCTCTGGAGTTCAATTCCATTTGCACTTTGAACCAAGGCTGTAATGAGCTCAGGAACTTAGTGGCCCTGACAGAATTCAAACTGAGCTTCAGAATAGATCATTATTGAACAAATGTTGCTTGATAGCACAGTTGAAAACACCTTACATTACTTTACTGATGATCGAGAGTAGACTGATAAGATGGTAATTGACCATTATGAGATAGTTGCAAGTATTATCGCTGACCTTGAATAGCTCAGTTAGGGGTGCAGCTAATTCTGAAGCACAAGGCTTCAGTACTATTGCTGGAATTTTGTCAGTGCTGATAGACTTCACCAAGAGATATGTGGTTAGAGATTGTAAGCAA